TTGCTGTTTGATGATGCATGTAAAAAGTTGACAGCTTTTCCACAAAAAAAAATCTTATTTGAAAATATATTATTGAACTAGATAGTGATAGAAGACATTTGCATATCTATTTCCCTTTTAACTTATTTTGTTCTTCATTTTTTATATGAAATAGATTTTTTTATATGAAATAGATAAAATATATGATAATAAAGGTTTTATATGAAATAGAAGACATTTGCATATCTATTTCCCTTTTAACTTATTTTGTTCTTCATTTTTTTATATGAAATAGATATAAAAGAGTTGAGTAGTGTAAACATGATTATGTATGTTTTTGATTTATTTTGTGTGACAAAATAGAGTCTTGTACAATGGACAGACTGTATTTAAAAAAAAAAGGCAACAAACTTAAAGACTTCCTTTCACCTGGATGGTGAATGGTCAAAAAAATTTATAGGTGTATGTGTGGTACATTTGTTTTGTTTTGTTTTGTTTTGTTTTGTTTTCCTTCTAGGGAGGCTGCACATTCAAAGCTGAGTGCTAGACAGAGCAGCCAAAGTTATTTCTTAGCTATACTTTGATCAAGCCCCATTTTGCTTTTATATTATGGAGATAAAGATTTATTCCTACTAATTATTTTTGGTTTTGACTTTACACTAGATTTCATGCCTGTTTTTCTGTTTATGCCAAATATCTTTTCAGCTTTATGGAATCCACTGAGACTCTTCCATGCTCTAGGTGACCCTGCGTGTGCAGGGGGGTTGGACTCGATGACCTCTGAGGTCCCTTCCAACCTTGGGCATTCTCTGATTCTATGTCACGTTTCTTCCTTCAGCAGGATCCCTATATATATCTCTATTTGAAAGGCAAGAGATCTGAAAAAATTCAGAAAGCCAGAGAAGGATCGCAGGTTTACAGATGAATGTCAACAGTTGAAGTAAAGCATAATGGCATAGCAATTAACATGCAGTTTTGTTTCAAATTCATGTTTTGTGATGTTCCTAACTCCTCAGCATCTTTTGTTACCACAGCAGTGGTATTGTTTCCAATACCATAAGGTGGTTGTTGCTGGTGGCTGTGTTTTTTTTAATATATTATTTTTTCTTTAGCAGAAGAAAAATGAAAGGCTGATTAGGATGCTGAAGTACATGTATTCTTAGCATTTAAAATTTTACAGAGAATTTAGTGAGATGATTTAGTGAGATGAACTCTGATCAGTCTTGACAGCCCTGGAAATGCATGTTTTCTGTCTTACAATAAAAGTATATACAACAGCAATATAAGCTTTCATAATCTTGCTTTTTGGAGTTCATGGGTGGACCACCTGTAGAGCTATGATGGTTGTCCAGTTTTCAGGTTCCTTTGGTCTTTGGACTGACTGGCAACACATTTGCCAACAAATGTGTTAATTGCTGTGGTTTTGGTAATGTGGACATCTGTCCAGGACAAAATGAACTAAGATCAGTAATGAACATTAAATTTATGGAAGAAGTTCCTCCTTTCTCCTCCCTGACAATTTATTTTGCCTTTTGGTGGATTGTGGGGGTTTCCTGTATGTAACCAAGAGGTTTTCTTGTTGGTAGTTAAAATAAAATAACAGATTTTGCAATTTGCCTTGAGAATAAAATACACTCAGGACAAAAAATAGCATTAATTCCGTTTTTTAAAAGTGTCCTCAGTATATAAGGAATACACCAACTCTAGGATGTATTTTGCTTACTTACTACTTATCTTGCTTCCTTTCTGCAGATTTTTTTTTCACCTAACTTACCCAGCAGTTCTATGAAAATAATTGTCTACTGTTCTATGGAAATAAATTTTCAACTGATGTTAGTGCTGCTTTTTAGATGGAATACTAAGTTAAGACTTAAGATGGGCCACTGAGTAGGGAAACCATGCTTTTGATACAGTTGGATATCAATTCTATTTTCATACAAATTGTTATGGAAATCTTCCCTTTTTCAAGATGTATGGTATGAGTATTGTCAAGAAAATCATATAAATTACACTTTCTAATTTGTTTCTTCCTTTAAGATTCTGAGCAAATATATTTCTGAGGATGAGCTCAGTAGGGGCATCCACTATAGTTTACAGGTGAGGCCATGGGATGGCTTGGTTTAGAAATCTTCTTCTAGTTCATGATCTGGTACTATCTTTCTGCATAATCACAGAGGAGTGCTCATCAATTTAGTCTTCCAGTCTTTAGTCCACAGAGATATGATGTTCCGCTTCCTCTGATAGAAATAAATGATCCTTAATAATGGATGTTTCACTAACTAAATTTCACCAACACCAGAAATCTGCTAAAAATGCAAATAATTTAGAGATTTACAAAATCTCTGAAATGCAAGAATTGTTTTATATTTCAAACATTCTTGAAATATGTTTGAAGGACTGGGTATTTTGTTTGCAGACAGCACAAACTTTGAAGAAATATTTCTTGTGGCAGTTATAGACAGACATATAAGTGTGATGAATCCAAGTTTCAATAAACTGTGAGCTCATTTATTGTGTCTATTGAGCTTCTACCTTCAAATTGTATTCTAAAATTTCTTCGCTTTCTACTAATCCGTGGCTTTAGTGAGACTGAAAATACCATGAGAACAGAGGAAAGATTGTGCATATTTCCTTGCTTCTCATTCCAGGTAAAACAGGGAGGTGGAAGTGAATACAGAAACATTAACTTAAAAATCAAAATTGAGAGAGGTTTGTGTATTTAGAGTGTTCTTTTTTTAAAAAAAAAAATATTTATTTGTATTTTTTTAAACCCCACTGTGTTTTTGCTTTGAAATGGTTTGGTCTCATTTCAACCATTCATAGCCATCAGTTCTAAAGAAGTGTTATTGTTTTTCTGTGAAAATTGTGATTTAAGTGTTCTCTGTTTGGGTGCTTTAGAAATCCCCAGGTGCAGAACACAAGTATGTTTAAGTTAAAATACAAATATTTTCCAAAGCTTTCATTTATATGGTAGGTGTTTGGTGACTTTGAATTACTGGATACAGTTTGGGTTGGAACCAATCCTAGAGTTTGTATTTTAGTTATGCTAGTATATTGCAATGGCAAAGGAAAAAGAAGGAAGGAGCAAAGATCTCATCAAATCTGTTCATGTTGCAGTCCTCAACTAATTTGGTTTCTTAGAAGTATCTCCAAAGTGTACAGAAAGAAATACAGGTTAGATGAGTGTGCAGTGAGGTGGATTAAAAACTGGCTGTATGGTAGAGTGCAGACAGTTGTGATCAACCTTGAAGTCTGGTTGGAGGCCCGTAGCTAGAGATTTCCACCAGGGGTCAGTACTGGATCCAGTCTTGTTCCACTTATTCATCAATGACCTAGAAGAAAGGACAGAGTATGCACTCAACAGGTTTGCTGGTGGTACAAAGCTGGTGTCTGATACAGCTGATACAGCAGAGGGCTGTGCTGCGTGTTCAGAGAGACCTGGGCAACCTGAAGAATTGGGCAGAGAGGAACCTCATGAAGTTCAGCAAAGGCAAGTGCCTCAGCAGGAAGAAAGCCATGCACCAGTACAGGTTGGGGGGTGACCTGCTGAAAAGCAGCTCTGCAGAGGGAGTGCTGGTGGACAAGAAGTTAACCATCAGCCATCAATGTGCCCTTGTGACCAAGAAGGCCAATGATATCCTGGGTAGCATTAGGAAGAGCATTGCCAGCAGGTCGGGGGAGGTGATCCTCTCTCTCTACTCAACTCTGGTGAGATCACATCTGTTGCAGTGTATGACGAAATGCACTCCAGTATCATGTACCAAAGACACTTTCTTTAGTATAGATATAAGTTATATACTCTAACATAAAAACACACGGAGTGCAGCAGTATTTCAACAAACAGAGTAAATGATTACGCGCAGAATAGTGCAGTAAGCTTCTTAATCATGTGCTAGCCATGCGTTTGCAGTTTCTTGTTTTTCTTTCATAGTTTCCTTATGTGCCAACAAGACATTCCATGCTATGTCCTTGAAGCTAGCCTCCACAACCAGCAGTACTGTGCTGGGCTCCACAGTACTAGAAAGACATAGAGCTACTGGAGCAGGTCCAGTGTAGGCTACAAAGATGATTACAGGACTAGAACATCTTTTCTGTGAGAAGAGGTTGAGCTTGTTTAACCTGTAGAAGAGAAGACTGAGAAAGGATCTTATCAAGGTATAAAAATAACTGTAGGGAGGATTTCAAGAGGATGAGGCCAGACTATTTTCAGTGGCAGCCAACAACAGGAAAAGAGGCAATGGCCACAAACTGAAACACGGGAAATTCCATTGGAATATGAAGAAAAACATTGTGATAACAGGTAACAGAGCACCGGCATGGGTTGCGCAGCGTTGTTGTTGAATCTCCTTCTATGGAGACATTTAAAACCTGCCTGGCCACAATCATGTGAAACGTGCTCTAGGTGATCCTACTTGTGCAGGGAAGATTGACCAGATGATCTCCAGAGGTTTCTTCCAACCTCAACCATGCAGTGATTCTCTGTTATGTACTATTGATGTAGAATGCAGCAGTAGTATAGAGGGAAGTAATATTAAAATATTATTATATATATATTATACTATATATAATGTATATTAAAAAGATTGCCAATTTAATTTGATGCATGCTTTTACATATACAGAAGTTGGCATGACACTCTTTCTATACTTATAAATTGTTTCATAATAGTAAAATGCTTCATCTACTTGACAGTTTCAGGCATTAATATGCTTGTAGCCACCTTTATTTTTTAAGGTCACTAAATAGCAAAGGAAGAGGAGTATGACATTTTTCTAGAACATTCTGACAATAGGAAACTTAAACTGCTTTTTATTTGTGAAAAATCAAGTTGATGACCAAAGTATAACTTCCTTTAATATAATGGCCAGCATATGCATATAAAATGTGAACAGATTAGACACAGTCCTTATTGAGAGTGCTTTTTGTCTCCACAAGCTCATTTGTTGCAAGAGTAAAATTAGGCATGCAAATCTGCACGCTTTGAAACAACAAACTGATAATTCTCCTTTTAATTCCAACAGGAAATAGTCCTGGTTGTGTTTTTCGGTGCTGAATATTTGGTCCGATTGTGGTCTGCAGGTTGCAGAAGTAAATATGTTGGCTTCCAGGGAAGGATACGTTTTGCCAGAAAGCCAATATCAATTATTGGTAAGACTTTCTTTGCTACTCTGTTATTATTCATTTCAAATAATGAACAGGAGAGAAATAAGGAGGACTGGTGAAGTTAGGAAAAGTTAAGAATGACTGTATCTGATTGTGTATCCAAAGCTATCAGTACTGGTTTTACATTTAAAATTCTCCTAAGAATAAAATACTTTAAAATGAAGATTTCATTTTATGTATTGGATGCAGGTGGAAGTGTTTACACCACTCCAGAGAACTGAAGTTCAGAAATTTATTTGCCAGGAGTCATCTATTTCCAAGTAGTGAGGAGCACATCTCAAAGCTAAGGGCTATTTCCATTCTATTAAATATTACAGCAGCTGAAAATGAAAATAGAAATGCAAATACTTAGTAAAAATATTTTTACTCGTTTTACTTGAAAATTGATTGTTTCTAATCAAAATTTGAGTTGCATACTAGAAAGTAATCTTTCTGAGAACAGTAGAAAAAAAGTCAAAAATTGATTGAGGAAAAAAATACTCTGGTAAGTTATGTTATAGGTGTTGCTATGTGCTAGGCTGAGTGTGTGTGTAACTAATATGTCATAAGCAAGCTGATTTTCAGATAAAAGTGGCAGCTGTTTGGAACAGTTTTAGAAACTGCTGGTTTTGCAGCAGTTCTGGAAAATTAGAATAGTAGGAATAGTGGACTAGTGAGTTAGATTTTTAAAGATGTGTAGTAAATATAAGCTATGGAAAATTTATTTTTTGTAGGTTTGTCATTTGCATATGTAGTATATATACACATAGTGCAAGTTGCTGTGTGTTTTTTGTCTCAACAAGCCTCATGTTTCAAGCCTCACAGACATGATTTCAAATATAAATATGTTGGGAAGGATTAGTACACATTGCTTTTTAAATGACTGAAATTCATTTTAATTTTTAAAATTTTAAAATTTCCTAACTAATGTATTAAGATCATTAAGAAAAATTAATCATTCTTATAGCTGTAATAGTTATTTAAACAATCGATGGCTCATTATCCTGGAATTTTCTGTGCCATATGTCTGCTTTTTCATGTAAATTTTTAAGCTGTTTCTGGAAAAGGTAATTTGAAGGGGAAAAATGTTGGTATGCTTGTGCTTAAAAAAAAGGGGGGACCTGGAGCAACCTCAACCAAGCCTATGAAAAATTTTTAAAATATTTTCCCTTAAGCCTTTCTAGAGAAAGATGTGAAATTCTTCGAAGTTTCCATCTGCACAGAACCTGAACAATTCAAATTTCAGATTGCTCTGAGTAGGTGTGCTAGGACTGGAAGTGGAAAACCTGAGTTTGTTTTCTTGCTGCTCTTCCTGAAACTGCCCAAGGCTCACGAAGCAGGAAGACACCTACCTGTCTGATATGCCATGGAGAAGTGTCAGAGTAGCAGTAATGGGTTGGGATGCACAGTCTAATTAAGACCAAGAAGCTGGACGCTGATGTTGGGGCCTGGGAAAGGAAGTTTGGGTGGTCTGACCAACAAACAGGAGATTGAGGGACAGAAAGTTGGGTCTGAAATTATGTGAGACTGGAAGTGAGCAGAGTACAGACTGTAGGATATGATGAAGAACTGTAATGAAAAATAAGACTGGTTGAACCAGTAAACTGGAGCTTATATGAGAAGCCTGAAAAATAGAAACTGGAGTGAAAGATAGAGTAATGAGATGAGGATAGAAGAATAAGGCTGGGGAAAAATAAACATCTGTACCATCTAGAACATACTTTTGGAAAACTGGGAAGTTCCAACAGAAAGTAGATTTATTACCACTACCTGATGGAAACTAGTTTCTAAAGTATTAATCACTTCATCCTTTAGAGATCGACACCGAATGGATGTATACATGTTCAATAACTAATAAAGATATCCATTGCACTGTTTGCTGAGTGAAAGTCTATATTATGATGCCATATCATGTTGGCAAGGGGAAGTCTTCAAATTGTGTGCATGACAAAAGTACAGGCTAAAAAAACAGGAAGGTCAAAAGCTGGATTATTCCAAAATGGAAGCTCTTCCTGTAACATAAAATTACCTTTCTCTCTATTATTCATCAATGTACAACTGTTGCAGTGCAATTTTTAATTACAGAATTGAGTTCTATGCCTTGGACAGGAATCCTGCTTTTACAATGAAAGCTAGACTGACACTAGAAATCAATGCAAGTTATTAATGAAGTTGAATTAAATTAATGAAGGATATTGTTGATTTCAGAAGTGCTGCACTGTTTGTTGCAGTAACTGTGTGGTTGTGACTGAGGCAAGAACATGTTTAAAGGAAGAGGGGAAAAATTACTCATTGAAAGCAGCTGATATTGCCTCTGGAATTGGACTCTATCCTGCATCTTGTCCAGGGCATGGAAACTCTGACAGTTGTTTTAATCAGTTTTCACAAGTGTGCCTCATTTTTTGGATGTCAAAACTGAGACTTTGAAGTCAGATTACAGAAGTTCTGAGCTCTCACAGCTGCAAATGAAGTCAGCAGGCACCTCTTTTTTTTTTTTCTTAGTGCTGTATAATGTTAAGTGCTCTGAAGAATAAGGTCCTGTTTGTTTCAAAATGGGCTCTGAAAATATACAAAGCTTTTCCTCAGTCTGTATACATTTGCTCCCCATTTATGACAGTGTCCTTTACTTTCTGGTCAGAATTTGAAAGTGATTGTCTGAAAAGCACTTATATACTCTGAACAAGAGTACCATAAAAAAGTCTATGAGAAAATACCTTTTCAGAACAAATCTGAAGTGCAATTCAATAGCTAAGAGCAAAAGAAGCAAAAGAAGAAAAAGAACTGTTCACTGAACTAGAATAAGAGAAAAAAAAAATAGTGGCTGCTAGTCTTATGAACATAATCTATCCTTTGCAATGTATGATGCTGGCATGGTATAGAAATATATTTTTTTCATATAGTTAAAAATCTATCACAAAGAAAACCACCAAGCCTGATTTTTAATCAGTCTTTTTTTCTGACAATTCCTTAAACTTTTGAAAGTTTACCCTTGCAGCTTCAATACAATTTTGCACTGTGAATTACTGAAACTTGTCTTTGCAACTTAAATAAAGAGCTTTCAGCCAAAATATAGATTCATTTTTGGGTGTACATATGCCTTTGCTTTTGATTATGGTCTCAACAGTTCTGTTAGTATTTTTCAATCATCCATTATCAAATTCATAGCAGAAGAAGCTCTCGTCACAGTTTACTAGTTTGCTTTGTGTGAAACTACTACTGTCCACCAAACTTCAGCTAAATTTCAACTCATGTTTCTTTGTTAAAGTGCATTCCTCAGTCTGTGTTCATCATATGTTTCCATACTGAAAGCTTACATTAATACTATTTCTGTTTTAATAGACTTGATTGTGGTAATAGCCTCAATTATCGTTCTCAGCGTAGGATCTAATGGGCAAGTGTTTGCTACCTCTGCAATCAGGTATGTTCTTCTACTATTGTAATTCTAACAGCCACAGAGATTTACATTCAATATAGGAAAACTTGTTTTAGTGAAGTGCTAGACTGTGGAAGACTGCTTGGTCATCACTTGGGAAACGGCACAGAGACAAGGCATGTGGAGAAGCATGTGAATGGTGAAGCCAAGAGGAAACAACTACAGAAACAGGTCTTTTATAAAACATTGAATGGCTCTCTTGCTAAGACAACAGAGTGTTACAGAACATCGGTTTATTTAAGAAGTAATAACCCACTTAATACTTTTTTTGAGTACTTTACTTAAAGTGTAATTATACTTTTTTGAGATTGTTTGGCACAAGTAACACGTACTAGAAGGGAGCCAGAACTACTTGATGTTTATAGTGCTGGTTCAGCTTGTACCAAGTACTGCAAGCTTGTTTTGGGAAGTAAACTGAATAAATAATGGAAAAGAATGATAAGAAAAAGAACAGGAAGTGCAGCTACTCCAAAGTTAACTTGCAAGATGTGCTACACTTGCCTTTATTAATCTTTAATTTCTACTGTAGTCAAATTACTGGGAAATGAGAATGTACAGTACTGTTGAACTGGGGATTTGTAGAGAGCTAACTGCATGTGTTTTTAAGATAAATATTTAAGTTTTAACCAATCTAAGGATTAATGTTCTCCTCTGAGTGACTTAGAAAAAAGATCCATGCATACAGCACAGGTGTAATTTATCAGTTTGCACAAGGCAAGAGGAGGATGAATGTAACACTTCCAAAGACTGCTTAATCTAAGAGTATAATTATGAACAGACCTATTATGTGATTGCATATGAGCCCAGGTGCTTTGAGCTCAGCATAGCCTTTCCTGGTATTAAGTCTGTCTTACAATTTGGGATGCTCTCTGCAAGAAAAAAATGACCCATCTCTCTGCAGTGATGTTATTCCCCCATGGGGAAACAGAGAAATCATCTGCATCAGTAAGTCCAAGTAAGATAAGGTTTCCTCTGAATGTATTCTGCTGATGCGAATGGCTGCTCTGGCATTAAAGGAGGAACAAGTCTTGCATCATTGCCCTTGCTGTCGTTGTTTTTAAAGCATACTCTAATGATGCTGTTCAGCCCACCTTCACTCCTCAGAAATGGCGTAAAGCATGGATTCATCTACATAAGGTTGTTCTTTCCTAGAATTAAGTTAAGCTCCAAACCCATCAGCTATAAAGGAATGACATTTAACCTCTGCAGCAACCAGTGAAACTGAAACCTAGCAGAACTTAAGGTTCACAGAATAGTTCTAGAGTCTTTGGTCCTTACTGATTAAGCTTACCAAGTTAGTAAAAATGCTCTTTCCTACCGATTGCTTTCCTTTTCTTTAAGAGAGATAATGTGCATATTCAGAGGCTGTGTATCTGGAGCTTTTGTTCATTTATCTATACTTATAAAACTGCCAGCCTGTAACATACACATCACGCTTGGTGGATCCAACATATCAGTAGGGATCTTAAAGACAACAGAGATAGATAGGAAAACAAAGTACTAGGCCAAGGTATCAAGAGGTCCATCTACATATAACTCTCCCCACTTCCTGCATCAGCAATCTGTCATTTCTTAGTGCTCATATACCCAGTAGACTTGTAATTTATCTTTTATCTAGGATTAATGAATTTTATAATAACCACTTAAAGTTTTCCAGTTAAATGTTTCAGCAGTCAATGAAATATAGAATGTATTGATGGAGCCAGTCACTGGCATAACTGTCATGCTGTAGTTATGAATCTGCTTTCCAATAAAAGGTCAAATATTTGTCTCTCAGTGTGAAAGTGCAGAAAAACTGGTTTTTGAATGATAGAAAATTTGTATTCTTTGGGAGACGGTACACCTTCCCATTCTGCATAGCACCAAAAACTGATGTATATCATCATGTTGGGGTTCCTACCTGTTGATATAGTCCAGGAGGATGCAACCTCATTTGAACTGAAATAAGGCTGAATTTCAGTGAGATGGACAACACCAAAGGACTGTGGAACAAAAAAATAAAATTGTAGTGAAATATTTTCAGATTGATTCAGATATAATTCAGCATTCACCTTTTTTCCTCTCTTTGCTGTCTGGTTTCAATGATAAGACAATAGGATAAATGTAGGAAGATAGAAAATACAGTGTAGAAGGGTGACTAGAATGAAATATTTTCATGTATTTGAATTTTTGCTGAAGAACCATAAAGATAATTATTTTTCTTGAATTGACAGTATTCAAAGTTTGATTCAGCTGTTAACCTAAAATCATGAAGAATTGTACCTATTTCCTAATTAGATGATTTCTATAAATTACATAAAGACTTGAGTCATTTCATGTCTGATTCACATTCTACTTTTGAGAAAGCAAAGATGGAATCACCAATTTACCTTGGAAAGGAAGTGTTTGAGAATCAGGTTCATTAAAAAGGGGGAGAGGGAAAGTTTCTTAAGTTTAAAAGCATATATTAAAAGATTTGTCTTTAAAAACAGAAACACCTAATTGTTATACTACTCTGTTCTGCATATATTTAAATATTCTCCAATGCAATTTAGATAACTTACACTGAAATGTGTCAAGTCCAAGATGCAACTGTAAATAAGGGCATGGTCCAACCTGCTCTAATATGGTGGTACATAACTGAATGTGGTCTATTGTGTATAGATAGAGCAGTATTAATCTCAATTACCCTTTTTATTTCATGTCATCCTTTCTTATAGAGGGATCCGCTTTCTCCAGATACTTCGCATGCTTCATGTAGACCGGCAGGGTGGCACCTGGCGACTACTGGGGTCGGTCGTTTTCATACATCGTCAGGTACTAGGTCTTTAAAAATCTCTAGCATTTTGTTTTAATTTTAGTAGATTCTTTTCCTGGATTTCAAATTGCGGCCTGGTTTAACAGTTATTGTTGCAGAAAAGTACATTAATGTTACAGGTATTTAGTTTTGAAACAGAAGTACTTTTGCTCCTTCATAGCAATTGATATTGGGATATTTGCATCAATATTTTGAAGAAATTAGCTACTAAGCGTAATGGTACTTCATGCTCTTCGATGTTATTTTTCAGTGTAATTTGTTAAATGCAAGAGGATGCTTATGTCTTGTGCAGCAAATACTGTCCGCTGACTTAGAGGAGATATTTTCCTAGCTTGCTTGATCTGAAGTAAACCAAATATAAACAAATCAACTTTTAAAATGATTTTATTTCCTCTGAGTTCTCTAGTCTATGTAAGAAATATTAAATATATTATGATAACATGCAGAAAAAGTGACTTCAGGGATGTGTGTAGTCAAGCACAGAGGTAAATGTGTCTATAAATAGTTATTTGTTTGAGATAGTTATTCTGTATAGGAATGAATTTAACTGGAAAAACAAACTCCTCAATTCAGACTATTTTCAGTGACTAGTTTAGAGGTTCTTTTTAGGGTTTCATGTAATTTGTTGACTGCAGAAGGCTAGTTCTATGCCTTGAATGTTTACATGAGGATTATAAGAGTTTTTAATTTATGTTTGATGTGTGTGTGTATATATATATATATAAAAACTTCCACACAGACTTTTTTTAAATTAACTATACCTTGAAGTTAACAGACTGCTTTTTCTAGTGTTATTCTGGTATGAGGAAAGGGAACAAAATTAAATCAAAAAACTCATTTAATAGTAGAAGTTACATTGTTTTCTTTATTATTTTCCCCATTACTGTAAGAATTGTCCTGAAAGGTGTGCTTCCTACATTGAAGCACACAAGTCCTGGTTTTAAATTTTAAATCTTTTAATTTTTAAATCTTTTAAAAGTGATTTAGTATCAAACTTACTTTCATCCCATACAATAGGATGAATTTACATGTCCCAAGTCAGTGTGGTCTTCATTTATTATGATTGCATTGCCTGGATATCCAGCTAGGAATACAGGTACACTTTCTCAACATTTACTAACCATGCTGATAGATGTTTTGGAACAACTTTCTGTGGTATTCAAAGCTACAGTCAATAATCTGGCAATTGCATTTCCAAAACATAACATTTTAGTCTTAAATATCACAAATACGAACAAGTTCAAACTTGTTCTCAAATATGAACAAGTTCTAACAAGTACAAAAATAAAGCACTCCCTTGGAGAAGCTGATTTATAAATAAATGTAACTGAGTTTCTGCTTATCCAAAGAAGTGACTGTTGTTGTATAAAATGCTTCAGATCTGTAGTACTTGTTAAAGCAGATCACCCACTGATATGTTATTGTTTCAAAATCAAACACACAGTTCAGTATTGACATTGGACAGGTGTAGTATGGTACCAAAGGGTAAATGAAAGGAAAATTAAACCTTTATTTCTCTCCAGTCTCTTAAAGTATTAAAAACAAAAGAAACAAAACAAAAAACAAACAAACAAAAAAAAACCCCAAACCTCAACTGATTTTTCTTTACAAGAAAGAGTAGAAGGTCCTTATTTACTGAGTTTGATACTCTTTCAGAATAAAATGGTAACCTAAATCCCTAAAGAATCTGGAAAAAAAGCCTTAGCTCTTTGGGACCTCTGAATATAACAAGTACTTCTGTGGACCCGGAAGGGCTTACTAAAGTTTTCACCAAAGCTTTCCATGTGTTTGGGAATTTTACATATAGCTGTATTAGCTCATTCAGACCCTTTTTGGCTAGGACAGTCTTCTATTTTGAGCAAGCTGAGCTTATACAAGCATTTCTCGCCAAAAGCAACAAAATATGAGTCAATATTACATGTGGTGATGGAAAGACATGGAAAAATCATGCAGCTCACTGAAAAAAATGAGTTAACCAATCCTGCCACATTTTATGATCCTACTACTTAGTTTTACTTATTCCTCACCTGCTTTGTGAGCTCTCCTACTGCTTATAATAGGGGGTTCACTGATTAGGTGTAGTTTTGAGAGGTTTGCTCTGTTTTCTTTTTCCTTATGTACTGAATTTTATATTGTGTGGCACTTGCTTTAACTGAAAACATAAAGTTGTCCAAGTTAAATGTGACCTAAGTCTTGTGATATTAAAATTTACATATAGGCACATAGGCTTGTTGTTGCTGGTGTTCTTGCATTTGAAAGTCTCCTCTGAAAATAGTCATTAAGCAGCATTCTTTATTCTTAAGCTCTTACCTACAACAAGTTAATGTTCATATGAATATCTTGAGTTTTAAGGACTAAATTCTGGAAAGTCCTTCTTTAAGATGATGTATCAGTTCATCCTCTTGGTGCTGGTAGACAACACTCCACCTGTATTTCTTCAGGCATATACTATTTTAGTCTCATGTTGTCTCTTAAATACACTATGTATTAGGTTGCTGCTACCATTATTAAAAATTAAACACAGGGAAGTAGTACTTTGTTTTTGCATACATATGCTACTTTTAGTGACATTTAGAATTAGTCTAAGGAAATTGCCTTTGATTCCAGGTTACAGTTTAAAGAGAATTCAATCTGAGTAGGACTGGAACTGAGAAGTGTCAATGGTGAAAAAAGCCAAAGTAGATCTGGTGATATTTCAACTACTTTGAAACATCACTCATGAGACTGTGCATAACAGTTCTGAAAAACAGCTTTTTCTGTCCACTTGTCAAAAAATCAACACTCTGACTCACTGTTCTGAGACAAAGTTCAGAAAGTAATGATGGCCATTCCTCAATTACATATGACTTCTAGTAGTATTGGTTCTATTAGTATTTTGAGAAGTAAGCAACATATTAAGAGTAGTTAAAAGATTGCTATTGATATGCTAAAAATCACAATTTCCTCAGACGTTAGGTAGAAAGTTGCTTTTGCAAGCAAGGAGCAATAGCTAGTACCTGTTACTTCTGTGATTCTCTGTTGATCTCTGAAATTACAGGTATTAAAAAATTCCCCCTTGCAGTAAGGAATATTGCAGATCAAATAAGGAATAAGGCAGATGAAAAAGGTGTGGAAAATTAGGGAAATATAAAACACTATCAACTGTAAATGTAAAATCTTTAAATATTCAGAATAATGCATACACATGTACACTACAAACACATAGGGTGCCATTATCATTAGAAAATATAATGAAAGTTTTGTGATCACTGCAGAAATCTGAGCTCCTGAAAATGCATTCATTTCCTCTTTCATCTGCCTTATTTAGCAAGCAGACCTACAGAAAAGTTAAGACATGGATGGAAAGACAATAACTAAATGCTATTGAATTTTCTTTTTTTTTTTTGTTATTAAATGTTTAGAGAAAACATAATTTCCGTGATTTATGCAAATTTTTACTGAGTCTAGATTCTTATTAGGGCTATATAAGAAGAAAGGGTATACATAGTCTAGGTTCCTGCTTCTGCAAGCATGGCACTAGTTACCAGAGCTACATTTCCCCAGAAAGCTGTTAGCTATCTGTAAGGGTGCAAAAGGGGTGTTAGAAAACTCTTTGAAGGAAATTTTATGTTATTAAGCTTGAACTTTTTCTGACATACAGTTTAAGAAACTTGAGTGAAATATTCCTGTGAAAAGCTGAAATACTTCATAAGTAGAGGGAATTCTTTTTGGAGAGGTTTTGTTTTTTAGATGTACATTGTGGGAATTTAAAAAATACTCAGTGTTTTGGATCCGAGGAAAGAAATGTAACTCCCTCAATTTCAGCAAAATGCTAATGGAGATGTAGTCCTGCATTTTCACATTTGTGATGTGTTTCATCACAAATACTGCTAAATATGAGCAAGGGAAAGGCTGGAATAGTGTGCAAACAATTGACTATTTGTAAACTTCAAGTAATTAAAAAAATCCCTCAAAATCACATCTTTATATTCCTGAGAGACGGAGGAATATCTGTTTTTTATTATGATGTAATGTTTTTATAAGCTTTATATATTCTGCCAATCTAATATCACAAAACTTGTTTAAATCCTAAAGAACAAGTTTATCCAGAGGAGTTGAATGATCCAGTTCAAGTTGCATCATCACACTGTTTTTTATACACAATTCCTATCCAAATCTCAAAAAATCGTGTCATTCAGAAGCAGCATATCATGCCTTAGCAAAAGTGCTTTCTAACAGTCTGGTCTAGCAATCCTACTCTGCAAAAAAATTAGTCTTTCTTTTTCATGACTGAAGAAGGGGTTTTATTTGTGTAAAATATATTGTAGTATCTTAAAATGATACTGGTAATACAACAGTATTCGGTCTTAAGTAAGCTGAATATCAGCTATGCAAGCTGCTTGCTTTGATACAGTCACAAGTCAAATGCATGATTATTTCTTAGGAATGGACTCAGACATACGGTTTGTTCTGTTTTTTAACCATTATCTGAGCACACATTTCATAAAATGCATGTCCTAAAGATGTATTTTACTAGTTTTTAAAAATGTACTAAGATTTGGTACTTTGAGGAGATTATTAAATGGAAGAATTTTCATTTAAGGGAAGCTGAACAGGAGATATGTCCCACCTAATTTAGCTGTCTGAATGATTTCATAAAAATGATTGCATTTGTTTAATGTTTTTAGTCTAATATAAACAGAGTCTTTATGGAGTCAATATAAATACAGTCTTCATTAACTAAGTCATTGACATATCTATTTAACTGGAAACAAGTTTCATACTTGAAAGTGTAATTACTTAATATTGCTATTGTGATGTGAAAAGATATTTAAAATGGCTTCCAATAGACATGATGTACCTGCTTTTTTCTCTTTTAATAGGAACTCATAACTACACTATACATTGGATTCTTGGGATTAATCTTTTCATCCTATTTTGTTTATCTTGCTGAGAAAGATGCTGTTGATGAAGATGGAAAGACAGGTTTCTCTAGTTATGCTGATGCCCTTTGGTGGGGTGTGGTAAGTCTTTACCAGGAAAATATATAGTCAAATTCAGTGTATAAGACTGTCTGTTCAGCTTATGATTTTTCTTTAAGAATCTGTTTTTATTTATTTAGTTTTTTATTGGTGGGGAGGGAAAGGTTTCTTCCTTGAAAAAGATACTGCTTTAGGGAAGCTCGCCTTTATTTTATCTTTTTATAAAGGAGGAAGAAAGATACAACTAAGATACTTCGGTATTAAACTTTTTTTGTGTGTGTGTGTGAAAGTATAAGAGCGAGTCCTCAGCAAAGCTTTCATTGACTTTTTAAGCTTATAGAAAGTCCTTGAAATCTACAATTTGAAAGGAGTAAAAATAGTCTCTAAATCCTTTAGCACTTATTTGAACGCTACCTGATTTTATGCAAAAGTTGCGTAAGTTTAAAGGTATGTTATGTTTCTGGGAGCTGAGTTAATGATTCTACCACTTTATTTTTGGATCCTTGTGCCTAAAACTCTCGCTTTCAGTACTAATGCGGACCTTAATGAAGGTTACAAGTTCCTTGGGCCTGTTCATTTTTAAATGATGTTTCCATGTTTTAGTGTAATGCTGAGTAGCTTCATCAAAAGCAGTTGACAAAGCTTTCCAGATTCACCAGCAATAATCACAAATCAGTCAGTGCTGGTTGTTGTAGGGGGAGAGCGGGATCTTGATGAGGGAGTATGAGAGAGTTGAGGTCATTATTATATTGGTGTGCATGCCCAGAATCAATTGAGAAGGGAATGGATAGCCAAGAGGAACAGAATAAGAAGCCAAATTGCTTATCCACTCCCTTCAGGCTGTTCTCAAGTTTCGTGCTGTGTCTCATGCTTTCGCTCCCTATTTGCTGTTGCTTGAGCCACCTCTGTTCCTGTGGTCCCTCTTCTCCGTGAGGGAATCCCATATTTTATGAGTTGGCTGTCTCATTACAACGAACAAGAGGTTCATCATATTGCTGTTAGTGACCAGACTTGAACAGAGCTGCCATCTTCCAGGGAGGGAAAAAAAGATTCAAGAATGATCTGAAATAGAATAAACTGTATTTGTTCTTAGATGATAGGGATGCAAATGACAATACATTTATTTACTAGGCAACATACTGATTGTTTATCTCCACCCAAATAAACTAGTGAGTAAGTCCAAGTAGACAGACAAAATCCTAATGGATGTATGTTTGTAATCCTTAAACTACCAAACTTCATCAAATTCTACATAGAGATTATTACATATTATACGTATAACATATTACACACAATATATAATATTGCATATTACATATAACATATTACACACAATATATAATATTGCATATTACATATAACCCAAAGACACTACTTTAAACACATTTCAGCATAAAGACAAAAATATAAATTCCATAAACTCCTATCATTAGGTTGTTAGGTATTCACTACATTTGTACAGCCTCATCTATGTCTTATGCAAAAAAAAGTACAAACCAAGAAGAACTCAGTAAAAAATACAAATTCCCTAAGCAGTCAGATGGATCTGATTATCTGACATGCTGGGAAAAACAAAACAACATCAACAAAAACCTATGAACAAATCTGTAAAAATATCAGTTGCTAAACTCCTCAATAGGCATGTAACAAAATTTTGAATAAAACACAGACCCTCATAGTTACGGACATGAGATACCCTCCAACTAATGAAGGAAAGGAATAAAGGTCCCATAAACTCAGATTGTACTACATTTTAAAGCAAGAGGCTTTATGCCTGCTTCATGCCTTTAAGGCTTCATTCCTGCTTTAACAAAACAAACCAGTAGACAGGCTCACTGATCCAGCTTAAATGCCAATGTTCAAAACTGTGGAACATGGCTACTATTTTTATTGATGCTGTACCTTAAATAGTCTGCAAAGGATATCTAATTAGAGATAGGGCTACTTACGGGAATTTCAATCCTTCAGCAGAAGGATTCTCACAAAAACTTGTGCTAATTTAGCTAAATCTATGAGAAATAGCCCAAACTTTTCTAGCCTAGTGAAGTCCAGAGAGATTTGTAGCACTGTGTCAATAGCAGTGACACCAGTGAAAGAAATGAACCATGTATAACGTATTTATAAGGAAATCTTAAGTTAATATATAATCAGTAAAGGATGGTGATTTGTGTTCTTGCTTTGTGCAATGTGCCTTTGATGTTTCATAAAATAATTCCTAGACCTTTAACTGCCAGAGATGTGAAAATTTAGAGCTGAATAGGAGGAAAGAATAACTGCCTGCTAAACTATGGGGAGCATGGTAGAATGAATAAGTAAAAGATTTTTAGTAATCAGTTTGGGAATTAGCTATCTTTTTTAATATACAGTTCTGCCCAAGAACACACATGCAGTCTGGGTTATTTCTGCATGCAGTGCAACCTCCATTTGAAGCTTCCATGTAAAGCTTGGTTACCCTCTGCTCTTCCCCATTTAAAATACAAATTGTGTTATTGGATTGAATATTTAAATATAGATTTAAAAATATTTTTAAATGCTAGAGGTTTCAGCCTCGATTTGAGTGAAGAATATAAACAGCAAAGTAGTCAGGATGTGTTTATACAGGCACATTTGGTTAATGTTTTAGACTAAAGGAATTTGAGTTCAGTTAGGCACACCACCAAATTAAAAATATTCATTACTTTACCTTGTTGAGAAAAAAGCCTTGGTATGTGTATGTTAATGCCTTGCAGAGTACTTGCTGAGCTTTGCTGTTGTTTTCCCAAACTTGACTTGTTTTGTGGAACAGGAAGATAAAATCAGCTTTGTCTTTTCCTAGCTGTGTGAGGAACACGAAGAACACTGTTTAAATTGTTGTTGGGGCTTTCCCGAGGTCTAGGCCTCCTCTGCATTAGTGAGTCACGGTGCAGGTGCAGTTCACAGCTGGGAACAGTGACAAAGGACAAAGTGAATTGGGTTCTTTTTCTTTTCAAATCTTCTGTAACGGAGAAACACAGATGTGGAGTTACTAGGGAATGAAATTTGATTTCACTTTTGCCTGAACTGTAGGAAAAAACCTTGGTGGCAAGTGTTTGAGAGTCTTTATGTGTCCGACACAAACCGCAGAGTGTATTGTGGGTAACGTTTCGCCTTGAGCAGAAAATGCAGGCTTGCTGAACTTGATACAAATGACCTGAAAGGCTCAAAAATGAAGGCAAAATAAAAAGTTAAAAGGGTTGGAATCAAACGCTGACTGGGTTCATCCGCTTCAGTTAAATGTAAGGCTGTTTCACTTCCATTTGGCAGGCATGCAGTTTAAACTATACAGAAATATCAAAGACTTGTGGGATTTTACCTCAACTTGCTTTCAGAAATTGTATCATGTCAGAAACATGTACAAGCATTTCCAACAGAACTGTCAGTCTACCAGAATTGAAGCCCATATCATAGCTGTTTTTCTGCCATTTCTGAATGTTTTTCTTAAGGGAAAAAAAAGCAGGGCATATAGGAGACTTCTCTTGCATGCTCTCATTGCTTCATGTTGGTAAGGCTTGTTATAGTTGCTGCAAAAGGGGCTATTAAGCCTGAGTCAAATGGTAAATCAGCATTAGGGATGCTTGAAAGCAATGGCTGAACCTCTTTATTTTAAAAATATTTTGAGCTGTGTACAGTTCTGCCTCTTTAAGCTTCAGGACACCTGCATATCTTAAAGTAGGTGAGAAGCTATATTATCAACTAAATTAGAGTTCTTTTTTTGAAGTTAAACACATATATATATATTCTAACACAAGCCCTGAAAACATGTGTGTGCCATCTGGTCTATGCTACAGCAAATCTAGACTAAGAAGGAGCTGTCATTTTCCAAAGTTCGTCTATTAAATGTTCTTTGAGCAGATACCTTCTGGAAATACATGTAGAAAAAAAAAATCTGTTTGTGATTAAGAAAGCCAGAGAATTAAATTATCTATAATCCATTCCACATAGTTGAATGCAGTAATTAGATTACCAAAGAGAAACCCTTTTAAAGGTAGCAAGGGAGAAACTTCGAGACTTGTTCACACACCTGCATGAATCTGCCAGCCAAATGCCTGCTGTAGAGATGGAAAAACATCTTTTCTGTGGTTACGGCTTTCATGCAGCCTTCCATAGTAACGCTAAGGCAGCTCAACATTACCGCAGCTTGTTTTTAAGTCCTGAGTGCTGAGAACTCAAAAAAAAACAAGAAGCCTTTCATAAGGGAAGGAGAGAAAAAAAAAAAAAAAAAGAGAAAGAGAGAGAGAGAAGAAAAGGAAGGAAAAATCCCATACTTGAAGGGGTCATCTGGGTGCACTGAGGAGCTGAAGTGCAATTAATGAAACGTAGTTTTAACATCCTCCACTTCCCAATAACCCATACTGCATTTTATGTCAGCATTTTGGGGGGCTGCATGAATTTGGGGGTCTGGCTAAACCCATATGCACTGCTGGTAGTGCAGTGTGGCCAAGTTGCTGCATTGTGGGCACTGTTGAGTTGGACGGATTCCTGAGAAGACAGAGTTTCTCCTGAGAAGAGCTAACAGTGTAGAATGACAATATTTGTTAGGGGATATTGATAGTACAAAAATGACTTCACTGAATGAGAAACTTATGATGAATGAACTCAAGCCTTTCTTTTTCTTTTTAAGCATCTCTTTTTCTTTTTAAGCATCTTTTTAAGCATTTGATAGTTAAGTCATTTTCTCTGCAAATCTTCCTTTCAGTTCTGGCTATAATCACTCTCAGAGAAGGAAATGTGTTAACAGAAACATTCTTCCCATGCTTTTACTTGTTGTAGTTGATGATGATGGTGCTAGTGTTACTGTGTTTTTTGTTTGTTTGTTTGTTTCCCGAAAAGCCTGTTTTTCCAAAATATCTAAGTATTTGCCAGCAACTTTTCCTATGAAAGGTAGTATTTCCAAGTATATCCTTTTTGTATGCACTGTAGGCTTTTAAGTCTATTAAGTCTTTTTTTTTTAAGTCTATTTTGGTTGTATTTTCGCTACCCTTCAAGGCAAAACAAAGGGAGTTGGACTGGGTTTGAAGCTGGTGCTTTCAAATGCAAGAACGCTTTTTTTTTTTTTTTTTTTTTTTTTCCTATTTAAAGCTCTTCCAAATATTTAATGATGCTGATGGAGTTTATTTGCTCACTAGAAGCTTTCCACTTCTCAGATGTGCAACTCTTTGCCATACTATTGCATGGCAATGAGAAGATCCTGTTACAAGGTACACTGATATGGTGCATCTCATGGCTTACCTTTTGAATGGCAGTGGAAAGAACTGCACTTTGGGGGTGGAAGGGTTCAAGATTAAGGGCATGGTACTCAGTTGTATTTGGCTGCTGTCTGCTGGTGTATTTGCATTGAGAGGGAAACAGTCATGCAGCAGTTACATGCTTCTTATCTGGGTATACAGATTGTGCTGGGATGTTTCTGGTCATGTCCATTTTCTTTTCCCCCAGGCAGTGATTCTTGGCTTAGGTTGATGATTAGCAGCTAATCTCGCCACAGCTATAATCTATGGCTGACAGCAGCCTTGAAGAGCGAAGAGCTGTCTGCAGGTCAATTGGCTATAGTCAGCACTTGAGTTTTCTTATCAGCCCTGTGGGATGGCTTTTAAAAACAAGAACGAGGAGAAATGCAGCAGGTCCATGATTTCAGGTCTAGAGGGACTGTCCCTTCCAGTTTGAGAGGACGGGAGAGGACAAACGGCAAATTGTAAGAACAATCACCCCCAGGTCCACCCTGGGATTACAATTCCAAAAGTGATCAGTTGTGAGCATCTCTTGAAGTATGATAAATTCAGTGATGTTTTCTCAGTATACACTGACGCTTTCCTTATGCACATTTCTACAACTCCACTTGCGTGTCCTGATGTTTTTTTTTTTAACTACTTACAGACAAATTGTACTGCATTGCAGTGAATTATATGTTTTTTTTTTTTTTTTTTTTTTTTGTCTGGCCTAGGTTACAGTCACAACAATTGGTTACGGAGACAAAGTGCCACAGACGTGGATTGGGAAGACTATTGCTTCCTGTTTTTCAGTGTTTGCAATATCTTTCTTTGCTCTGCCAGCAGTAAGTAGAATGTGTATCATTTTTTTTTAGCTATCTGTCCAAACTGGACTGCACAGTTAAGTAATTTTAAATTAGTTTCATTATAGGAAAAGGGGGTTGGCTGTTACTTTAGACTATAAGTTTATACATGCACATTTACTATATAAAATTCAGTGTTTTAGGAAGAAGGTAAGAATGTTTTCATCATTTAAAGAACTGAGATGGAGGGAATTTTGGGGGGGTTCTTGGTTTCCTCCACATGTCAGTTGCAGAGCTGAAACTTACTTCCTATTTTTTTCCTATTTCCTATTTCTTATATGGCATTAAAGCATTGTTTCTGGGCTTTTTTTGAATTCCCAAATACCTGAAGGAGGAGGCATAAAGATAACACCACCAAAAAAATTAGAATACACAAGGCATTCATGTAGTTCCTAACAGTTTTCATAGAAATGCTGAAATTGCACAGCTGTATTTCTGTCATATGACCCTGACCCATTTGCTTCTCTCCTCACCTCATTGTGTAGGGTTGCTTTTGTAATGTGACTGCCTTGGTGACTAATGGCACCTGTGGACTGTAGCAATAAACACATGCTGATTCTGTGATAAACCTGCGGAAATGTAATTTTATTTGCTGGCTAGTAGTTTTCTGTTACTGTGGACATCTGAAAATTTAGAAATGATGTGACTGATTTACTTTAAGTGATTTTTAGATAAGCCTCTTATGGCCTTTTATTTTCTTGTTGGAGTCTGTCCAGTAATTTTGTTTATTTTTAGGGCATTCTGGGTTCTGGCTTTGCCCTAAAAGTACAACAGAAACAACGCCAAAAACATTTCAATAGACAAATCCCAGCTGCAGCTTCCCTCATTCAGGTAAGGCCCCTAAAAGTAAGACAGATAGGAGACAGAGAAAAAGTGTGGTTGAGTATTTATTATATGAAAATCACTAACAAAGTTTTTTTATTATAAATCTAAAACTTACCTTTAACAACTTAATCTTTCTGATACAGAAAGATTAATCATATAATTGCTTGTCCTCTTCTTAGGACTAAGTGTACAAGTTGTCACTAACCAGACATTCACAGGCATAATAATACTAGTCAGATGCAGAGATTTTATTTAACTATACAGAAAAAAAAAAAAAAAGGAAAAAAGGTCATTTCCATTACCTTATTTGCTAACTATATATTCTGTATTACCATAGTCTCTGTGCATCTGCCAGCCTGCCAAATCCAGAAGTGAAGAATGTGCCCATTTACCCATATATGTATATTTGTTTCAAAAAAAAGCCTCAATATTACATTTCATATTATACATAGAGTGATGACTTGGCATACAAGTACTGAAATGGCATGCTGCAGAAAAAGGGAAGCAGAAATGTTCTGTAAGGCATATACAAGAATCTGATTTTATGGAGTGCACTTAGCACTGTAAAATAGGAGTTAGGCCCCAGCTCCTAGTAATAGCACTGTAAAGAGTATACTTAAAATCACTGTGTGCTGTGTTTTTCCTAGCGGACATTACCCTTAGCAAAGCTGCCTATGAGGGAAAACTACATTTTATTAGGTATGTTGCTGTACCGCATAGCGCAGTGATGGTAGTCAGAGTCCTTTGCAACGTGCATACATAGACTGAGTAATTTGGTGTCAGCTTGTTTTTTGACAAGTTCTGCCTTATCTGCCTTGCAGGACAAAATGTCCATTCACTCACTGAGAGTGTTGTTTGGGTCTTATTTTACAGACTTTGTGGCGGTGTTATGCAGCGGAGAAATCATGCAGCTCTACAGCAACGTGGAAGATCTATGTTACGACACCTGCTCAAAATCCGCAAAAAACACCAGCGCCATCTAGCCCTAGTCTGAGAAAACAGGTTATGTGGAGTTGGCAAAGCTGCTTGCTTCTTTTGCTTTTGATATGGTTGACATAACTCACCTTCTGAAGGGTCCAGTAAATGTGGAGAGCTGAAAGGGGTTCAGTCACTTTCCTCATTACAGAAGGATGAATTATTCTTAAAATATTCCTGAGGGACAAATGTGTCTTCTACTTTTAAATTTGGCCTCAGTCCCTGGTCTGATTGGTGTTGATTCTTCATTATTTTGTCTCTTGTGAAGACTTCTCTACCTTCTTAAAAGTAGTGACCATCACTGAGATTTTTATCATTTTGGATTCATGTGCACAGTAATGCTTTCAGGGAGAAGGGAGAAAGAGTTAAAAAGTTTTTATCTGTATTCAGAACTTGGCAGATAACATCTACCATTGCCTTGCTCAACTTCTCTCCATTGTATCATGGTGCTCTCCAAGGAGTTGCAGCTGAAGTAAAGCTCTCCAGGTGGGACTGCCTAAATATAGGTAACCACTGGCAAGCTTGCATGACCATGTATCCTCTGTCTCCATGAGGGATGCCAATTTCTAAACTTTTTATTGCACTGTTTCATTACCAATATGCTTTTGTTTAATTGCTCACAGAGCTGAACAGAAATAATTCCAAATGACTAAGCACAGATCAGAGTGAAGTAGGATTGGTTTTCTCAGGCAAAATAGTTTTGTCCAGTTTATGATGGTATTGAGCCAGTGTCCATTTGTGCCAGTGCATGCAAATACTTATTCTCTCTAAACTGCCTATCTGTGCCATCAGAGACTAGAATACTTTGCAAAATTAAGCACCATCTCTAACTCTCAACTTGTTGTCAGAAGGCAGCTAGAGCCCCAGACAAGTGAAAGGATGCCTGCTCCCTCTGTCTGGAGGCATGCAAGCAAAGGAGCTGATAGGGCTAAAGTGCATGAGTGCTGTCATGGCACGTATGGCACTAAATGCCATGTTGTGGAAAGTAATGTTTATGTGGCTAGAAAGTGGCAGTGACTGTTTGTATGGAATCAGCATCCAGAAGGTAGGCTATACTTGCCATGTAGTGAATGTGGGAGTGGCCACTCTTCTGATGACCTCTAGTATAGGAGTTTTTGTGTTTTTAGGGCTTAATAAGGTAGAGAGCTTGTCGAAAGTAGATGATGTAGTATAGCATAGGGCACAGAGCTTAGGGCATGGCACTCAGAAGATCTCGCGATGTCACGGGAGTTAGGAGCATAATTAATTTATGCAGTTTACTGATAATCCCATGCCATACTAGGCGAAAATTAGAAATTAGTCTCCCGACTGGGCAGTAGGTGAGTCTCCGCATTCAACTGGAGTATATAGGAAGACTGAACTGCGCAATAAACGCCATTTTGCCGCATCCCCTATAGTGGTATCTGTGCTCTGGTTGTGAGGACAACCCCAGGTCAGCCCAGCTAACGAATAAGGCTTGCCGACCGCCGTCGGCAACACTCTAGTCATGAAGACAGAGGAACACAAGTCTTGTTAACAACACAGTCAACTTCAAATAGTCTTCTCTCGCTGTATTCATTTAGGCTTCCGAAATTGAAACAGCTTCCACTATGGACATAGAGGGACAGTTTCCTCTTTCACTCATGCCCTGTCCAGCAGATTTCATCTCTGTATGAGAGGGCTTTAGTTGAGAAGGCTGCATTGTGCCTTGCTCATAATTTCAAGTTTCTGGTTATGTTTTTATTAGCACTTAAGAAGACAGCCAAAGCCAAGCTATTCTATATTCAAATGATTAAGTTTCAATTGGGAGTTTTGGACCTAGTTTGAAAAATCATAATTGAGACTTTTTTCAGAGCTCTAGGTATATTAGCTTGAGAATCAGTCTCTTTCACCGTGTTTCAAGGGAGAATATGGAATCAGACACTTAGAAAACATTAGGGCTTTCTTGGTATTTTAATCACTTTCTTTAAAAACTGTTCAAAAAGAAATACAGTGAAGTTAACACTTGCACTTTTTTCAATGTATTTATTTGATAATATCTTCTGATACCATTCCCTTTTTATTACCACAGACTAAAAGAAGCAAAAGGAAAGGGAAATCAGGCTTTGGTAATGGCTCTGCACCTGTAATAAATCCTGGAGAGACCTCCCTGTCTGTTCCACAGATCACTTATGACCATGTTGCTGAACAAGAAGACAAAAAGGATGTGTCTTTCTATATAGAAGAACCAGGAGGTAATTTTTTTAAATTTACGTTTGTTAGCATTTTTTTACAGACATTGTTAAAGAGCTGAACTGATTAAGAGAATTTCTGGGGACAAGTAAAACTCTTCAGTAAAACAAGATACCTGAAAACAAGGACAATTACATGACAAAAACAGGGGGGCTCAATCAAGTAAAGGAAAACTTTTACATGCATGTGCTGTGAACATCAGATTGTTCACAAAAGAAAAGAAGTTTCTTTTTGTTTACCACATTGTAAGACTATGCACAAAAAAGGTAATTTGGTTAACTTTACCTTTCTGAGTTACGTCAGAGTTTGCCAGAAAGCTCACTTAGGTCTATCCCACCTTTTAGCTTACTTTATCTCACAGAGCCTAAAAGGAGAAGTTTTTTTTTTCTCTTTTTACTTGTTTACATCACCTCCTTAAGCAATGTGCAAATTGGTTGTGATAGAAACAACAAATATTTTATGCTTAGGCTAAGCAGAACATTTAAGGTTTTTATTTGTTGCTTCATTAAAATGTGTGTTACTGTTATTAATTGTATTTCAGCCTGGAAACTTGCTGAATTTCATTGCTGAGATATAGCTGTGTTTGTAATATGTTTTTTATGAAGCTTGTGACAAAAATGTAGATCCACTAGATCTTTAGCTAAATGAAAGCCTGTGTCCTTATATTATAGAAATTGAGTTCCCTACCTAGAGGAGTACAAAGGCTACCAAGGTAGCTGAAGATGCTGGCTGTAGTCACAGTTGTTTGCTATCTTGCTTAACGCCTTGCCTTTGACTTTCTTCTGTCTCTGATAAATCTGAACACTATCTCTGTGTAAAATAAGGCTCTTTCATGTCAGTGAGGTTGATGTATGATTTCAGCCTTTGGGGAGCGTGTGTGTTATGTGTGTTATGTAGTGTGACATTTTCTTTAGAATATATTTTTAAAATATTCAGAGGCAGTATTCTGCGTCTGTTGCATTGAGAATATTCAGGAGTGGTAGTTTCACTGTCTTGTTCTGATTTTACAGGTTTTCTAGGCTGTGTTATCCAAGTAACCTATGATGTTCTTGCTAGAACAGTTAGTCCGAAGTATTTAGCATGGAGCTGAGAGTAGTCTGTAAAGGGCAGGAGGAACTCCTTGCTCCCACAGGGAGTTAGGAACATTTCAAGCTGCTGTTTCATACAAGTGATTGCTGTGTGTCCGCTTCTGTGGGAAGAAGAGATTCATTCTTATACTGATGGATATTTTCATTCTCCCTCCTACTCCTACTTAGGTTCTGTCTTTCCTTATGTCACTGTGTTGAGATCAGAGAGTTTTTTCAACAATTAAAGTATTTCTTTTTGTTCTAGCTATTGCTTGGTGTCTAAAGTCCTTTAATAGGGCTCCAGGAAAGAGTTGGGAAAGTGTGATTTATAAATGAAATTGCCATTTTAATGACATGACTTCAAAGTGCTGTGTTCACAGTTCATTCTCAACAGCCTTCTTGACCTTGTAATTGCAGGTTTTGCTGAGTGTATCTAGGTATTGTGGCATCAGTCACAACAGTGATAAAGTGTTGAATAACTGAATGAAATATTCTTTAACAGTACTCTTAGTCCTCATCTTTGTTCACTTCTGTCTTGATTATTTAGACATCTGCAAGCACACATTTATTCACTTAATGTGTGTTCCTGAAATGTTCATAGTTTGAGGAAAGTGCTGTCTATCAAATAAGGGACTAAAAAGACTAGCATGTATTTGTTTTGTTTTTCCTTCTCATGCCTAGGTAACAGAGAAAAATGAATGCATTCCCCTCCCCATTTTTTTTTTGTCTGAAAATGCTTTTCTGTTGTATTTTTATTTTTCTAGTTGGCCTGTTTTATTCTTCTGAGAGGCAATCGTGCATGTTTTTCTCTTTCGGTTAATTTTTTATCTATTTTTCTTTTCACTTTGCCTTAGCAAGTGTCAGAGTAAGTTACACTTCGTTTGATTTTCCTGATTTATTCCTTCTGTTGCAAAGCTGCCGGGAATGTAGCTGCCTAACTCGATTGCTCAATTGACTGAACATTCTTGACACCTCTCAAAAGTTTAAACCTTCTCTTAGCAAAGTTCTCTTTGCCAAAACTAATGGGCTTCTATTTTTGAGAAGTAGTAGCACCAGGCCGCAAGCCTTAAGAGGGGAGTGAGTTTTTCCTCTCTTAAAGCATTAAAAGTAGAAGAGTCAGAAAATTAAAATAATAAAGAAATAGCAATTGAAAGGGGTCATGTCAGCTTTCCTTTTCAGTGTGCTGTAGTGGAATAGTTTGTTCACTGGTTGGGGGAATTGGATTTTTTTACAGATGGTAAACTTCTGAAACTGAATTGAATCATTTCTGTAAGTCTGATCTAGCAAGAGCAAAACTGTTGCTTTAAACTCAGCTCTTCTTGCCTGCTGCTACAGACAGGTGTAAGAAAGAGTGTAGCGAGGCCTGAAACAAATGCCTGGCAACTACACATGAGTGAGTAATTATTCCACAAGGAATATTCCATGTCCTGGGTAGAAAATAGTTTAAAGAGGAGATAAAGCTGCTTAGATTAAGGGAAGGTTAACTTGATGCAGGAATATAAGAGCACACCTTTTTTTCCCCTGAGAGATGAGTTTTTATTAGGATATCCTTTTCAGGTTTCAGTGTTCATCCAACCTGTTCTTGGCATGTTTAAAAAACTTTCTTGGGATGCTTATTTTTCAAGACTAGGCAAAAAAGTTAATGCTTTCATCTTCTGTATCTCTAAAATAAAGGTTTTATTAAAGGGAAAGAATTAAAAAGCCTGCAGGCATGATCAGTAGTAAAGGTTTGTGAGTCACAAATTAAGTAGTTTTTCCATAGTGATTTAAACCCCTCTTTGGTTTCATTCTCGTCTGAGATTATTGTAGCCTTTCTTATTCTTCTTTATGGTGTAGAAATTAAGCTTTAACAGTATGTCTGTAAACCTTTTCATGCTGTGCATACTCTTCTTCAGTACAGTTAGTTACCGGGATGACAAGGCAAGTATGAACTCTTCAGCATCTTTATTGTGCCTTTAAGATTTAAAGAAGGCACTTAAGTACCAGGACGGTAGTTATTTATGATGTCAAGAATGAATGACAGGTCATAAAGACCACTCCAAAGGAAAGAATAAAAATAATATTTGAATGTAACTGTCATTCTTTTATAGACTCTGTTTCATCTTCAAATAACTGTCCACTGTAATGTATACTTCTCAAAAGAAGCTGAGTAGCTATAGTATAACATTTATTATCAGAAAAAAATATATATAAAAATGTGGAAGTTGTGAGACCTTGAATGTCAGCCTCCTGAGACTTCTCCAACATATGGAACATATCTTTCTCTGTCAGTTATTGTTGGTCATGTACACAACACATTACTCTGAAAGAAATTGTCAGTCATAAGACCCTCACAGTGATAAATCGTTGCTGAAATAAAAAATGAAAAGTTCTCTATTTATCACAATGCTTTTCTGTTTTGTGTTTTTTGGGGGGGGAGGGTAAAGAAGGGGGAGAGTTTCTTGGCTGCTGATGTATTTTGCCTCATATTTAAAGCAAAATTATATAAAAGTAACTTTTCAGCTGGAGGGGGAAAGAACTTTAATTTGGATGACCCACAAAATACCTTTGTAAGCCTTCTTATATGAATGTGTAATAGTGTTAATGTTGATTTATTTTGTCTGTAATGTTAGTTTTGGGTGCTGACATTCCAGAATGGACCTATCCAGCAAGTGGATTGGTTGTTCCTAGAAACTTGTTGCATTTCCACGGGGAAAATATCTGCTTTTCCTCTGTGGTGTGGATGGATTACAATCTCCAATACATATAAAGAAGCAAACATTTTAAATGAAGTGGATTCATAAAGATTCCAGTGCTGACAAGTTGAGTGAAAGGTGAGAAGAACCATGTGGCTAAAATTAACTAAATAAAGCAAGCACCAAAGCTTTTGAGGGTCTGCATAGCTGTCAGTAAGGCAAAAAAAGGTGAATATAAAGATATGCTCCAAGTTAGCAGAGAAAGTACCCAGCTACCTTGCTTCTGAAAAACTTTGTACCCTTAAGAAGGTGAGTTTAGCAGATGCTGGTGGTTTTGGAGTGAGAATGTATACTCACTATAGAGCTGTTTAATTTCTAAAACTGGCAGTTCAAGACTTGCGGGTAGATTGATACTTGCTTGTGGGTAAAAATTGTGGTGATATACTTAGGTGCTTCTACCAGAAAGTTTTCGTTTGCTGCCACTCAGCCCTGGCTATCCTAAGTATGAGCTTTCTGTGAATTGTGTCTTTTTCTTCTGTGATCAAATGGGGATGGTCTAAGAAGAGATAAGAGAGGGGGTGATGTAAGGGTAGATGGACGCAGGTAGGAAGAGATCAGCCATCTCGGCCAAACACTTTTACTTCTGACTAAAATTTCTGTTCTATATTTGATCTGCATAAAATTTACTGCCTGATTTAGGAGCTGAGTTTAAAACACTGATCACTTAGTTATATGATACAGGGACTTCAAACAAGTGAGTCTTGGAGACAATGGTGGTGTGTGCAGTCTGACAAATAGTATTGCAGCCCTCAAACTCTTTTTCTGATTAAAATATCAGCAAAAATTATTTTAGCGATTGCTCATGTGGAATTATTTTCTGGGGAAACCAAAGACAACTAGTTTACACAAAATTTCATTTAGTTGATAATGTTCTAGCTCATTTCAGTTGTAATATCAGAATGAGTCCATTTGTTCAATAGCAAAGGAAAATTATTCTCCCTCGTGGTAACCAGCCTTTTTTGCAGACTTAATCATTAAGTTGATGTCAGATAGGCATGTAGTAAAGGACGCATTTCTGCTATAGACTTAAAAATGAACAAAACCCAGAAATCCTGTCAATCATAGACTGGTCCTGGCATTTCTTTTAATTAAGTTGACTATTAGGATTGAAAAAAGAAATAAAATGAGAACATCAGCACAGCAGTGAAAAAACATGTTTATTAAAAAAGAATTGCAAATAAAGGCACATCCCAGAATACC